AAAAAGTGTTATAAACAATATGGTGTAAGATTTATCAACAGTTTTCCGAAATGACGCAATGATCTCACCATCACGTGCGCATGGTTACTAGATTATACCCCGCGCGATACAGTGAGTTTACATAATAAATTGTGATCGTAAATTCTATCACCTGCGACGACCGCAAACATAAAGATTATAATATTAGCAACAATGACGATTATCAGGTAGACCCAAACGTACTACATCAAACGTGCAGGTTGCCGTTTTCCTTATATCTCAAATATCATATCGATTTTCTTAATACGATTGACAGTTTTCCTCGTTCCATCTATTTCTACTTAGCAAATTAATAAAAAAGGTAATGTACACTCTGTAAACACCAGGAACAAACACAAGCTACAGACTCCACCGAGTCAGTAATTAATTTATGGGGAAATGTATACGATATTACAACAAAGTTCCAGAAAATATAGGTATAAGGTATCTCTATTACTAGGTTTAAATGTTATATTAAACAAAAACTGTAATAAAATAAAAACATAAACTATTAGTAAATCCAATTGTGCATGCCCTAAGCGCATTAAAAAAATTACGTACAACATGATTATACGTAACTTTTTTTAGTAGTTTAAATACACACAAGTTTTCACTAATAAACTTCAATTAAAAAAAATTGGAAAATCCAAACGTGCACGACTTATAATGCTCACATGATAATTTTTTTATAGGATAGGGTGACAAACGAGCACACAGTCCACCTGATGGTAAGTGGTTGCTGTGGCCTATAGACCATCTATCCTTGTTTGCGAATCAAAATGCAGAATGCATTGTCACCCGTGAGGACTAAGATGGAATGCCTCTTTTCCAGTAAAAAGTGTCTCGGGTTCTCTACACTCACCATACGAAACACAGCAGCGTTAAACTGCTATTTTGCGCTGGTATTCTGTGATAGCGTGGTCTTTCCCCGGTCGAACCGACCCATTCGTGCTACAACTATACTACTAATGTAGCTGCAGCATGGCTCTACCACGTGCAATCATCATATCATCATTCAGGTCACGCCATAAAGTCCAAGACGTATTTAAGTATAAATGTAATTAAATATATACATCCTACTTACTTCTAGTACGTAGTACTATTATTTATTCTGTGCTTTTAAAATATTGTAATAAAAATCTCTGATTATTATAATAAGCAAGTAAGTATGAAATTTGTTTTTTCGAATATTTTGTATTTGTACAGCGATCTTTTTGAGCCGCTGCAAAATACCAATACAGTATCCATTCACGACGGCGGTTGACGCCGAAGTGAGTGGAGTGAGTGAGGCAGTAAATTTAGTAAAATAAATTATTACAAGGCGGCTAAAACACCGAAAATTTCCGTGCATTTAATTTACGTTCCTATAGTAGTGAAGTACATCATGACTGAGAATATGTTGACGAAGTGTGGTGTGAAATATTTTTTCTCCGAATGCCAAGTACACCTGTAAGCGGTGATTTCCATAAAATGACGAACGGGGCTCTGGCAACCAACAGATAGCGCAACATCCATCCATATTATACGAATCCTTCTCTCACGGACTGATGTGAGGCGCTTACACTTTTTATTATGCAGTGGCCAGGATATCGCGGTATTGCACTAACCAATCTACTTAGTCTCGTATGTAGTGAGTGCGAATAAGTATTTTTATACAAATGTGCACATAGTCCACCTAATGGTAAGTGGATGCTATGGCCCATAGACGTTTTACATTTTACGTGGTAGAGCCATGCTGCAGCTATATTAATAGTATAGTTGTAGCACGAATGGGTCGGCACATACGGGGAAGGACCACGCTCTCACAGAATACCAGCGTAATATAGCAGCTTAATGCTGCTGTGTTTCGTATGGTGAGTGTAGGGATGCGGAGACACATTTTACTGGAAAAGAGGCATTATATCTTAGTCCTCACGGCTTACAACGCATCTGCATTTTAATTCGCAAACGAAGATAGATGTAGATGTCTATGGGCCACAGCAACCACTTACCATCAGGTGGACTGCGTGCTCGGTTGTCACACTTATTCTATAAAAATAATAAGAATTAAAATTCAGATACGTTATCAACTCAATGTATTACAATTAAATACCTCGTTACCGGTTAAAAGGGTCTTCGGGTGTCGTCACTTACTATACAAAACACAGCACACGGCAGTATTGCGCTGCAATTTTACGCCGATATTCAAGTGCGAGTGCGATCTGCCGTGAAGCCGATTTCTTCGTGTAGCAGTTCTGATACTAATACGCCGTAGCGTCTCTTTATCACGTTTAGAATGAATTACCACGTAATAAACATGTAATTTGTTGCAATATCTGTGATGAGTAATAAGAGATAAAATATGAGTGATGATTAATGAAAATGAAACGTGTTCCTGTACCTCCACCTGTATGCGAAAGCTCAAAGTAATCCAGCAAGCGATGGGGAGGACTATGCTCGGAATTAAACAACCTGAGTGGAAGAGAGGTTCGCTAGTGGCATGAAATATATGTCTGTATATATACGTAAATATCTTGAATTTTTTAATAAGTGAGTTTTTAATAGTGTTTTTTTTTTGTAGATTTCCTTATTTCTGTTTTTATTCTTTTTTGTTTAGATTTCTTCTTAACTACACAATAAATAAGTGCCGTACTAAGCTAATACGGTTTCTTGTTGATCATTAAATGTTTATTTTATATGAAGAATAGTCGCGTTTTAAAGAACGCCTAGTAGTTCTAAGGTTAACGTTGAGAATTAACATTAATTAAGGGCGCTCAAGGCATCTGGATGACATCCAAATTTGCCGGTCTCATTGTAATCGTAAAATAGATCCACTGAATGCATGACGAAATTAGTGATGATTGATTTTTGTCATTTGACTTTAGTATTTATCAACACAGACTGTCTTGTAATTATTTTATTACATCTCAACTGTCATCGTTTTTGTGCATTAATTCTAAAATATGGAAGGTAAATAAATTTTATTTTCATTTTACCTTTCTGAACAAGAAAGACAGTTAACATTTCTAATCGGTTCACCCAGTAAAACGTTATGAGGTAACACACATAAAAAAAACATACAGTCGAATTGAGTACCGTCTCCTTTTTGGAAGTCGGCAGCAAATCAAGGGACGGTGGGACGGTCTTTACACATAATGAGCCGTGTACGTTTTGGGACATGAGTAGATAAGGTTCCGCTGCGCAAATTATTTCTGTGTTCATTACAATTTTTATCGAAAGTATAGTTTCTATTATCTCTCTCAGTACTGTACCACAGTTTAAACTATCTTTAAACTGTGGTAAAGTACCTAAAGGCTATTTTGCTGATTTTATTAAAAATTTTAGTGTGGACAGGCTGTTAAAAAACTTTTATTTTTTGAAAACTTAACTTACTCACTTTCACTGTCATATAAGTGTTTTATAAAACCGGCAAATTTTAGTACATATTAATTTAAGTACATACAAATAATATATGTACATACATATCTTATTCAATCGTCAGATAAAAGTTATTCATAGAATAAAATACAACATAAACAAATTAAAAATTACAATTGTATTAATAAAAACGTTCAATTGTTTGACTTTTACATTCAGTCAGGTTACAATTCAGTCAGGTTATTAACAGTGGTAGAGCCACGCGGCAGCTTTTGCTGTCGCACGGATGGGCCGGCTCGAACCGGGGTGGTACCACGACCACACAGAAAACCAGCGTGAAGTAGAGGTTTACTTCTGCGTTTCGCTTGGTGAGTGCAGGTGGCCGGAGGCCCTTTTTACTGGAAATGAGGCATTCCATCTTAGTCCTCACGGGTGACAACGCATCTACATTTTGATTTGTAATAGAGGATAGATGTAGATGTCTATGGGCCGCAGCATCCACTTACCATCTGGTGGACTGTGTGCTCGTTTGTCACCCTTATCATATAAAAAAAATATTTGGCGAATAACTTTTAACTGACGATTCAAAATCGGCCCTTTTTTTCTTAAAGTGAAAATTATACTATCAAAAGAAATTAACTTTTATCAAATTTGGTAAGAACTCTGGAACTTATGTTGTTGCATTACATTAGAATACGACGGCTCCGTGCCGCAGTAGCTTAGCAATGAGTTGCAGCGTTAAGCGCCGCGGGTTCGGATCCAGCACGGAACAAGTATTTGTATGACCTTCAAATAATTGTTGTGGTTTTGATGTTTATCAAAACCACAACATTTGTATTGTGGAGTTTGTATTGTGGAGATTTTTAAAAAAAAAATTTTACGACTTTAAAAAAAAAACAAGATGAGAAGAAGAAGATATAGAATAGATAGAGCGAACGAAATTATAAGGGTTCCTACATGGTTTCCTCCTTTGTGGGGAGGATTTGCCATGTATAGATAACGCTTGGCAGGCGAATTGGCAACTGTACTAGACATCTCGCACATTTGACAGCAAATTACAAATGAGTTTTATTAATATGCATATTGTTTTGTGTGTAGATGCAATAATATACTTTGACTTTAAACACATTCTATTGTATCATAAATACAGATCATGATTATTTATTTCTGCAATGTAACAAGTAATCTTAACTATTGATAACGTGAACTAAACTATGCTGCAAAAGGAGAATATTTAGATGCTTTATTTTATCATAAGTAAATTTATTTGGTATTTAATAGTACTAACTTTGTGCAATTTATCACTTACAGACTATCACTATCAATACAGCACATCATAAGTCCACTGCTGAACATTGGCCATAGATTGTCACAAATTGCGGTCCCGAGTCACCTGCATCCATCGACTTTCCACGTGTTTCATCAGGTCGTCACTCAATCTAGTAAGGCATCGCCCAACACTGCTTTCGAGTGCGAGGTATCTCGCTCGAGAAACTTTCTTCCCCATCGGTTGTCGGTTTTTCGAGCTACATGGCCGGCCCGCTGTTAATTAAATTTACTGATCTGTGTAATTTATATTTCGATGACTTGACTACTGTTTTAATAAAATATATAACCATAATAACCTTCATCAGAGAAGTCAAGGACGGCACTTTGCAGTTTATTCGTGGTGTCGGTATGCGCGGGTGCACGCACCGAATCTTGCAGGAGCGCGGCAATTTTGTCGCGCATCGCATCGCACATGCACCTTCACGCGGTGGTGCCGGCGCCGGACCACGATACCACGGGCCAACTGTCTACAGTATTCTAATTAAATATCGTGTTTCGTGCTCACGTAGCAATCCTTGCGAACGTAATGTCGAAACGGCCAACACACCACACAATTGCTATTACTTGATTTACACCTTTACAACACGTTTGCTTAATGACAGCACCTATCACAATGTTGCTTTCGTAAACACATTTAATAAAATATTTCAATACACATATTATATTAAAATAAAATTAATAGTAAATCTATAAGACTCTATTTTTTATATCACCAAGATTTGTATTTTGTGTAAATTAAGTGCACTTTATTTAAAAAAAGTTATGTAAAATGAGCAAACTTAAAAAGATGTGAGCGGCACTGTCGTTCGGGGCAGACTGTCTATTCCCGGCTTCAGCAAGCACGTGGGCGCGCCGCCCGCCGCCCGCCCACCGATCAATGGAAACGAGATTGACACTTGAACCTTCACAACTTACTCCAAGTATAGCCGTCCGTTTATTATTTGTAACTTTCATTAAGATTAACAAAATTACGATTTAGATGTAGTTAATTAGCAGTGATTCTCTTTAATCCGGACATGACAATTGAAATTTCTTTATTTCTTTATTAATTTATCATATTTTACTCACAAGTGAACCATTAACTTTTAAGTAGGTACTGGTATAGCCCCGTACCCTTGTTTATATTGTTTTGATTTAGTATTGTAGCGTCCTTGGCCATAGGGTATAACATAACATAGAGAATATTACCACAGAATTGACAATACTACAAGTAATATTACTAGTGATAAAAGACTATATTCATGCGAAATTTCTAAAAGTTTGCATAAATTAAGTTTACTCAATCAGGATCAAACAACTTGCACTGTTATATCATTGTAATTTAAAAAAAAAATATATTAGTTATTGTCTCATTTTCCTCAATAGTGAAGCATCTTAATCTGATTAAGAAATAAGCAAGATTGGAAATAAGATTTTAAACAATTTCAAAAGATGTGTTTTCCTGGGCGATTTCGACAACACAATCCAAATATTTTTGGAAGGTCTACATTGCACAGGTTGCATATTCTTTTTCTAATAACATATAACTAGATAGAGTGACGACCTGGTTAGGCGTGCAGGAAGTCGATGAATGCAGATGGCTCGGGACAGTGCTTTGTGGCATTGCTTGCGGGTGGCCTATGTTCAGCAGTCGACTTGGACTCTAATGATTATGATAATGAATAAAACCTAATACTCCTTAAATTATAACGCTATTGCGGTGAGGTTAGAGGTGGGCTTGGTTGTGGTGGTAAAAGGGCAATCACAATTGACGGCTCCGTGGCGCAGTGGCTTAGCAATGAGTTGTTGCGCTGGGGGCCGCGGGTTCGAATCCCGCACGGAACAAGTATTTGTATGGCCTACAAATAATTGTTCCGGGTTTGGATGTTTGTCCTCATGCAATTTATGTTTGTAATTTATGTTTTAACGGTGGTAGAGCCACGCGGCAGTTTTTGCTGTTGCACGTATGGGCCGGCTCGAGCCGGGTTGGTACCACGACCTCACAGAATACCGGCGAGAAGTAGAAGCTTTGCTTCTGCGTTTTGTCCCCCCATCAACATGGTATTACACGAAAGACTACCCCAAGAGGGTACCAGCACCCCTGGAGAATCCCTCGCTGAGCATCCACGACCGTGTTATTCCACTCCTGAGCGTGGGTGCTCAGGCTGCCCCGCGTATTCTGGGGGGGGGGGGAGGGGAGCAAAATTCCGCTCAAAAACATAAATGCTCGGGGCAAACTCAGCAACAATACCAAGGCGACCCCTGCCACATTATCCGTGAATTTCTGCAACATCAGGGGACTTCACTCGAACCTAAACGCCGTCCAATACCATCTCGAGACGGCGAAGCCGGCCTTGCTCTTTTTGACCGAGACAGGTGTCCTCTCCGGCTGATACTTCGTATCTCTCCTACCCGGGGTACAAATTGGAGCACTCCTTTGTGACTCGGGCTGGAGATTGCGTGTATGTGAGAGAGGATATCTGTTCTCGACGCCTCGGCAGTCTTGAAGGTTCGGACCTGTTCATCCTTTGGCTACGCGTAGACAGCGACGACCATCCGCGCGTCTACGGGTGCCTCTATAGGTACCATAGCGGTATTGCCGAAACAGACCGACTCATCGACCACGTCCACGTCCTTGCTACAGCAAGGAATCTGTAGCCATTCGTCCCATCCGTGATCCTTGGCGATTTTAACGCCCACCACGCCGAATGGCTCGGTTCACGTTTAACCGATCATGCGGGGAGATCTGTTTATGACTTTGCTTTGGCATATGGTCTGACACAACTGGTTACTTCGCCTGCACGGATTCCAGATGTGGAGGATCATACACCTTCCCTGTTGGACCTTCTGCTGACCTCTCATCCGGACGGATATCAGGTTTTCGTCGATGCCCCTCTCGGCTCTTCGGACCATTGTCTGATCCGGAGTGTGGTGCCACTCACGCTCCCCTCGCGGTTGCGTTCTGCAGGTTGCCGCCGTATTTGGCATTACAGGTCAGCGGATTGGGACAGAATGCGGTCTTTCTTTGCATCCTACCCTTGGGTGCGGGTTTGCCTCTCGCCGGATGATCCCAGCGCTGTTGCTGACTCTGTCACTGATGTGGTGCTACAGGCAATGGAACTATTTATTCCATCATCTGTGGTACCCATCGGAGGCAGATTTCAGCCATGGTTTGGTCGCTCCTGTAAGACTGCATTACGCAGTAAGCAGGAGTGTTATCAAGCCTGGGCTGCGGCTTCGGCGACTCAGGATGTAAACACCAGCACACTTAAAAAAAACTATAACTTCACCTCCAGGTCCTTCAAAAGAGTTAATGCCAAGGCAAAGTCAGAGCACATAGGCAGAATTGGCGAGAAACTAGTTTGCCTTCCTTCGCGAACCCGTGCATTCTGGTCTCTCGCCAATGCTGTCCAAGGGAATTTCTGTAAGCCATCACTACCATCTCTGCACAGGGAGGACGGCTCACTGGCCCAAGCCGCAAAAGACAAAGCCGACCTTTTAGGCTCCCTTTTTGCTTCCATATCGACTCTTGATGACGGGGAGGAAAACGCCGCCGACCATCCGGCGGTGTGAGTGCTCCATGCCGGATGTGCTGTTCTCACAGCACTCGGTTCGCAAAGCACTCGCCTCGAGTCGAGTCGAGTGGGTCTGACGGAATACCCCCAATTGTGCTGAGGACGTGTGCTCCGGCATTGGCACCGGTCCTAACGCGTCTTTTCCGGTACTCCTACTCCCAAGGCGTAGTCCCGAATTCATGGAAGACAGCTTTTGTCCACCCGATCCCTAAAACAGGCGACCGCTCAGACCCGTCCAACTATAGGCCTATCGCCATCACCTCCTTGTTCTCCAAAATAATGGAATCCATTATTAACTGCCAGCTCATGCGGTACCTTGAGGATCACCAGCTGATTAGTGACCGCCAATACAGTTGTCGTCTGGGTCGATCAGCTGGTGATCTTCTGGTCTACCTGACCCATAGATGGGCGGAAGCAGTAGAGTCCAAGGGGGAGGCGTTGGCCGTTAGTTTGGACATTGCGAAGGCCTTCGATCGGGTCTGGCACAAAGCGCTTCTTTCGAAGCTCTCTTCCTATGTGCTTCCCGAGAAATTGTGCAATTGGATCACCAGCTTTCTTGCAGATCGGAGCATCAAGGTCGTTTTAAACGGTGCATGCTCCGACTACAAGCCTATTAACGCTGGTGTTCCACAAGGCTGTGTGCTATCACCAACGCTGTTTCTTCTGCATATCAATGATATGTTGCTAACTGGTAACATTCATTGCTATGCGGATGATAGCACTGGTGATGCTTTATACACCGGCCGTGCCAATATTTCTCGGGAAAACGTCGCTGAGTACCGGAACAAACTTGTGTCTGAAGTCGAGTCTTTGCTGAACAAAGTCTCGGATTATTCGGGTGACTAAATTTAGTTCAGTTTAATCCTCAGAAGACACAAGTTTGCGCGTTAACGCTAAAAAGAACCCCTTTGTCGTATCTCCTCAGTTTCAAGGCACTTCTTCTTGCCTCAGCCAGTATCGGAATCCTCGGAGTCGACATATCTAGTGACGTGCAGTTTCGTGGTCACTTGGAAGGGAAGGCCAAATTGGCCTCTAAAAAGCTTGGCGTGCTCAGCAGAGCGGGACAGTATTTCATGTCGGCACACCACCTGCAACTTTATAAGGCGCAGGTTCGGCCTCACATGGAATACTGTTCCCATCTCTGGCCAGGGGCTCCCCAGTGCCAGCTCCTTCCACTTGACCGCATCCAGCGCAGGGCGGCTCGAATCGTCGACGACCGAGTCCTTTCTGATCGGCTCGATTCATTGGCACTGCGAAGAGATGTTGCACCCCTTTGCATTTTCTTTTGCATCTACCACGGGGAGTGCACTGAGGAATTGTTCGGATTAATCCCAGCCGCCAAATTTCACGAACGCACATCGTGGCAGAACTCCCGATACCATCCACACCATCTGGATGATTGGCGGTCCACCACTGTGCGATTTAGAAGATGTTTTCTTCCTCGCACAACTTCCTTGTGGAATCGATTACCATCAGCGATTTTTCCGGACCGATACGACTTAGGGACCTTCAAGAAAAGAGCCTACTCCTTTTTAAAAGGCCGGCAACGCATCTGCAATTCCTCTGGTGTTTCGGTAGTTCATGGGCGGCGGTAGTCACTTACCATCAGGTGAGCCGCATGCTCGTTTGCCCCCTCTCCTATATAAAAAAAAACTGCCTCCACGACACATGAGAAAATCCTAGTGTGGAGGTAACGTTTTATTAAAAAAAGAAAAAGAAAAGAACAATGATAAGCAAATTTTTTTTGGTATCTCTAAAAACGTTACCACCACAGAAAGATTATCTCATGTATCGTGGAGGTGTTTTACATTCATAAATTGCACCTGAACAAACATTCTGACCCGGAACAAATGTTAGTAG